TACTTTGCGGCAGTGTCCGCCAGCGTCTACCAGCTCCACCAGCGAACACTAAACGTTCCGGCGTCCGGCAGCGCCAGCGACTAGGGAATTATGAATATCGCTCGCGTGTGCCAGCGTTCACCAGCGACCAGCAGCGTCTCGAGGGCTAAAGACGTATAGGAATCGATCCAGCGTCTGCCAGCGTCCACAAGCGTTCACCGGCGACCGGGTGTGGAGAGTATGGGGAAGTAGATGGGATAGCAAACAGCTGGATCAAGCTCGTGAAATTCCTGTGCAACCGCACTGCCCAACTGCTAAAGCACAGAATTATGAATTCCTGTGTACGATATAGTGCAGCTGTACGGTGCGGTGGTGCGCGCTTGATCCAGCTGTTTGCTACCCTCCCACTTCTCCAAACTCTACTCCCGGTCGCTAGTGAATGCTGGTGGACGCTGACAAACGCTGAAAGTCGCTAGACCGATACCTATACTTCCCTAGTGCTGACGCTGCCACACGTCGGAAAGCTAATGGCCGTAATGGACACTGTCGCGAAGTATGAACGCACTCTTTCCTCTGGACGAGCGGCACTCTTAGTAAGAGGAAACGATATCTTTGTTGAATGAGCAGTAGGCGTTGGGAAGGTTCAGGATGCTTCAGCACGTATCCTATGACCACCCAGGTTTACGCCATGCACGAAAGGACCTTGGGTGTACCAAACCGGCGATACTGCCGCCAGCCGGCCCACTACGTCATCGTTACTTTATTGCCATTACGAAGATGTGGTACAAGGGTCAACATGTCGCGGAAAATAGGGGGCTCGGTACGACCCCTCCCCTCACTTAAAAAAAGTGTCCACACGACTTGTTCCTCTTCGCTGAGGGGTTAGTTCTTCACCTTCCAATGGAAATAACTTCGTTTAGACATTTGCAGAACGGAAATCTGCTAATCTACTCGGCGTTGAAAATTGGAGTGTTCTTTCTTTCCATTGAGCACCACAGTTTGCTGAAGCTTAATTACAGCGGAAAGTCGTTCGTCGCGTATTTCCATTCGAAAGTCAGCTTCAGCTGCAGCATGACGATCTCCCACCCTGCGAGGTCCACATATCCAACTAGAAAGCTCATAAGCCTCCCCCCCCCCGTACCCTCCTCTCCATGTGGTGAATATAAACGGCAGCACAGACACGCTGATTGACGGGAGACGCGCAACAGAATCGTCCGGGGCAGCCTGCGGCAGGCGGCGCGTCGCGCGGCGAATGACGCAGCAGCTCACGTAAGTGCATTTGCTCGCCGATAGCTCTGAATTGGAGCGATTGATCTACTACAGTGTACATCCGCAACGTTTACCAGGTTCCATCAATAATTGAAAATCTAAGGATGTTTTTCTTGATAGTAACACACAATTGTTTGGCGGATCCATAGACGCAACTTCAGGAAATAAACAAATACAAAAGAAAACAAATAAGGCAGTTATTCTCCCTACGTTTTTGTGATTCGCATGATTCGCGCAATCGTCAGCGTCAACATTTGATAGATGAGTGGTCAAGTTTTACTGTGAGCTGCTGCAGAGCAAACTTTAAAGATCCTGATTTCATGCTCTAATTATTTTATTTAACGAAATGAACTTTAATGAAAACTCTAATGAACTTTTCCATTCTCTGAGGGAAAACAAAGAAAAAAAATTTAACCGTAACTGAACACAAGACTCGATCCTGGGTGATATCAATCTTTACCGTCCCTTAGATATCCCTATTCAACAGCCAGACACATGCTTTGTCTTCTCGCCTGCAATAATGTCACCACGCCCACCAGCTGCACCGGACGATTCTGTTGCTACACCCCCTGATTAACACTTCCATGGAATGCACCATGTATGCGACTTAATTTCCGAACTCATCCTGCAAACTACGACCCTGCTGTATTGAGTATTGGTCTCTGCAACTGCGACCCCTCCCCATCCCAAATGAGCCAAACGACCCCTCCCCCGTCGCGGATTCCGCGATATGCTTGACCCTGGTGCCGACCAGAGATTTCTTAGTAATTCGGTAATTCAGATCACGACTGTAACACTCTTTCTAGACGCCGATGCAATATGGCGCCAGAATAGCACTCAACTGCTCCCACATGACAGTACACAACGTACACGATGGGAGAAAATGTGGCTCGAAGTTGGCTTTAAACGACACTGCAGCCAGAAGTGCCATATTTTTGATTCTTGATCATTTCAAGGGTGGAAATACAGTCTAAACCGACACAACAATTCGCCTGAACGGCTCGGTCCACCATGAAAATTACTAGCGGCTTGCTGGTAATTTGTAGCTGGCTGCTCTACTCGACCGAAACCACACCCCTCTACAGGTGACTGTCGGGAAGGAACTGGGCCTTGCGATCAACTATGTTAAAGACAGCCCCGCGCTCGAGTAGTACATGGTCGTCCTTCCTTGTGCAAGTAGTACAGCCCCCAAGCTAGAGACTGTCCCACTCTATTCGACTCCACAGCGAGCGAGGAGCGAGCTACAGCCGCTGAAAGTTCTAGTTCCCGCCCAGTTGGACCGCCCACTTGCTAGATGCCCTCCGACGGAGGGCCGCTCAGTTGTTCTTTGTTGGGGCGGCGGGCATTAATCGGAATTGCATGTCCTTTTTGCTGACCGCGCTCGTGCCCATGAATAATTCTGCTCTCCTTTATTACATTTTATTCATTAGGAGCACATACAGTCAACTCCAACCCATCTCGCAAGGTAAAACGCGTAAAAATCACGAGCGACCCAATTTTCGTGGTGCAAAAGCTCGACGCACTACACTACACTAAAAGATGCACGCTACCGTAACCCTAAATTCGGACGCCGAGTTTTTGAAGTTTCTTTTCCTTTTCAAGAGTTTTTCCTCCGTGGTGGATGATATCCACCACTGGGAGATGTAATAAAGGGATTTGTCAGCCAGGG